TAGTTCTATTTTTATGTAGGTAATCATAATGAACATGTGCCACCAATGAATCTCAAAGTACAATTTCTGCCATTTGATTTTGAATGAGTTCTGTTGTGTTGTAGTTAATTAATTCCTGATTATATTGGCTGAAGGGATATGTGCTTGGCAATCCAGTGACAGATTATATCTTCCCTTATATTTGGGCCATAAATTAATGCATGGCTGAAGGGATAGACATAACACGTGTGATAAAGTGATGGGAAATGATGACACCCGACGTTTGCTGGTCAAAGCCATAAATGCTCACCTAAAATATCTCTCCAACATGCTCAATGATCTCTACCGTGATTGGTGGATGATATTTGCATATTGTTTGTCCATATCTCATGGGAGACCAACTTCGCCTATGGATGGGTGAAAATGAAACGTAACTACGAGAACGAAAATGCAACAAAAATATTACAGGCATGAAAGCGAAAATTCAGATAAACTCCAAATACTAACGTTGCAACTTGGTTTAGGGCAAGATCACGTGTGCCTAACAAGTTTGTTAAGGAAATCATTTATTACTCACCTAACATTCTCTCCAATCACTTCGTATTAGTACTTCAAAAAATAATAATATTGTACTTAGTAAAAGACATTTATAGCCTGTTAATCCCAGTGTACGTACTGTTACAGCCCAACCTCACCATGTTTCCGCAAACACTTCTTCTGCTCCTCCTCCTTCATTGTTGTCACATTGTTGCTTCATCATCCATCATCAACACCCTACCGGGTTTTTCCGGCGACCTCCCCTTCAAACTTGAAACCGGGTTGGTATTTCTTTGTTTTTGTTTTTGTTTAATCGGGGTCTTGTTTTCGCATCTATATAGAGGTGTCCTTATGTGTTCTCCTCTCTCAGTTTAGTTGTTCATCTCTTTCATGCTTTGCTGTGAATGAAAGGATATTTCTATGGTATATGGTACTAATTAATTAATTATTTTTTTTGGGTTCCCTGTATGAATTATTACTCTATATCAATTAATACGTACCAATTGCAATAATGAGAATGAAAATTATGATTTAAACGATATAAAGGTACGTTGGGGTGGGCAATTTGGATGATATTCAGTTGTTTTATTTCTTCATTGAGTCGGAGAGAAGTCCCAAGGAAGATCCTTTACTGCTTTGGCTCGATCTTAAAAGGGCAGTGAGTTAGTCATTCTAATTCACAACACTTCTTTTACTGCCATGGTATATGACAGTATAGGTACATTATTATCTCAACTCTTCATATCATATCCTCCACTTATATTATATGATCAACAATTCTCATTCACAGTCTGACAACAAATCAACAAATTACTCCTTATATTGCTGAACCGGGAATTCCCCTCCGGAATTATTTTGAAACCGTACAAAACCATTAGTTGGATTTTGACTGGAAGGTAGCTATCTATAAGTCAGTGTACAGTAACATCAAAGAATTAACGGTCGTTATCATATAACAATTTGATAACCTCAACTGTTTTTCTTTTTTCCTTTTTGGATTGGAACAAGACATCGTTGATCTCCATCCAACATGCACAAAGAATTTGTGATCATCCTATAAAAGATATCAATTGACTTTGCATGTGATAATATATCAACGAAACTTATTGCTTTGAATTGATTTTATATATGCCCTGAGTAAATTTATTTTTTTTGCTAGGTCCATTAATTTTCAACTACGCAAATTCTAGTGGGAACGAACCAACGTTTTTGTTGAATCCATACTCATGGACAAAGGTAAGATAAGAGATAAACCTACTGCTAATTAATTTATGATTTGTCAATAACTTGACCCCGAATGCATATTGAAAAATGTTCAGATTGCCAACGTGATATTTTTGGATCAACCCGTTGGTACTGGATATTCCTATGCAAAAAGTTGGGAAGAATACCGGACCGGTGATACATTATCATGTACTCAGACCTATGAATTTCTAAGGAAGGTGAAAATTTGGCAAAGTAATTTACAAAGGTTTGAAAATTACATTGTTAAATCTCATTAATTAATTTATTAATTGTTGTGATGTATATAATGGTGCTGCAGTGGCTTAAAGATCACCCTCAATTTCTGAAAAATCCACTATATATTGCTGGTGATTCATATTCAGGCATAACCGTTCCCATCGTTGCTCAACAAGTATCCAACGGTAATTTTTGTTGGAAATGAAAACCTTTTCAGTTGTTTCATTTATACTAAATGATTATCAAACGAGTTCTAAATTTATTTGACCTAAATTATGAGAAGTCTCCTAAATCTGAACTGTTGTAGGTAACGAAGCCGGCCATGAACCGCCAATGAATCTCAAAGTAAGAATTCAATCTGATTTTAAATTTGGGATACTTGTCTTCCCTTTCAGTCCTCGTTAGCCCTTCTCCTTTTGTGTGCGTTCGTTTGGGCTCTTATGGTTGTTTTCTGCTCATTTGATTTTAGCTTGTAATCCTAATATAGCTCATTACAATCTTTCTTTCTTCTTCTTTTTCTGCTTTCTGTAATGAACTTGTGCTTTTTGTGCTGCCTTTCGGTCTTTGTCCTTGGTTCTTAACTATTTTATTACGAGACCAATACGAGACCAGTGGAAAAGGGTTTTGACTTACATATCAGTAGTCTCAGATTCGAACTCTCATACCACCTTGAAAGTTTGTGTGAGAAAACTCACCTCCTCCTTCCTAACTTTGGAAAGAAAAAAAAAATTCATTTTAATGTGTGATTGGAGTAATATATTTTCTTACCAAACCTCGTAATTATGAGCCCTTAGTACAAAATGTAATGATTATAATGTATGAGTAAAATGTGACATTCATACTAAGGTTCAAATTCTTCCTCCGTCAATATAATTTGGATCAGGAGAAGAAAAAGAAAAGTACATTCAAACATATAATTTTTTTCCTTTTGGGGCGAGTATTTACCACATTTTTAGTATCAAGTAAACAAACATTGTATTGGATAACTAAATGTTGTTTGATTGAACTCAGGGTTACGTGCTTGGCAACCAACATATGACGTGAACTCACGAATTAAATATGCTCATCGCATGGCACTTATATCCAATGAACTCTATGAGGTATAAATATGTTTTCTTGTTTATAAATTTAGGTCAAATTGTCCTTATAATTTGACTCGTTTTTCACTTTGACTTTGGAAATTTTAGTCCTATAATTAGTTCGGTTAGCAATCGAGTCAAATTACATTATTTAGCCATATATTTATACGTTTACATGACTGAACTATGTTTCATGCTAATACCTTAGTACTTGGTTGCAGAGTTATAACTATCGAACTCACGAATTAAATATGCTCATCGCATGGCACTTATATCCAATGAACTCTATGAGGTATAAATATGTTTTCTTGTTTATTTGTTGATTTTCTTAAATTTTGAAGAAAGAAGAGCGAGAGTTGTATTTCTATGGCCAATGTGTGCCACCAAAAAAAATAAAAGTGCTCAATTAATTTTCGTACAAATCATGTAGCAAAAAAATAAAATTAATGCTTAATTTGAGAGCTAATCTCTTCGTATTATATATGTATATAGTCAACTAAAACAAATTGCAAGGGCGAGTATTTTCAAGTAGATCCAAGCAATGCACCTTGTGTGGAAAACCTCCAAGAAGTCAATGAGGTGAGAATTACTACAATGTCCTTGGTTTGCGTTTATTATATATTAAAGTGTGATACTGAATATCGATTTACCACTTAACAAATTTGCAGTGCATCCAAAAGTTAAATCTTGCACAAATATTGGAGCCAAAGTGTAGTACTCTGTCTCCAAAACCAAAAAGATTCAAATGGGATCAAAACTTTGCTGAAGAGGACTCGTTAGATGTGCTGCATTATTCTACGTAATCATGGTGTCGTGTAAATTTCTGGCTTACTTACTCTCGCACAATATATACTCCTATAAATTTAGGTCAAATTGTCCTTATAATTTGACTCGTTTTTCCCTTTGACTTTGGAAATTTTAGTCCTATAATTAGTTCGGTTAGCAATCGAGTCAAATTACATTAATTAGTCATATATTTATACGTTTACATGACTGAACTATGTTTCATGTTAATACCTTAGTACTTGGTTGCAGAGTTATAACTATATCTTCTGCTTCATTTGGGCTAATGACAAAACTGTCCAAAATGCTCTAAACGTTAGAGAGGTATGTTATAATTTTGAGAATTACAATATATAATTAATTTCGCTTAAGCACTTTTGCCATTACAACCTAACAGGGAACAATAAAGGGTTGGGAAAGATGCAATCAGAGCATGGATAGCAATAATGCATATGATGTTAGAACTAGTATTGACTATCATCGAAATCTCACCAAGACAAACCTTAGAGCACTGGTTTACAGGTACACTAATTAATATTCTAAATTTTCTCCATTTCCAAATTTTGTCTACCCGTAAAAATCCACACCCGTTTGTGCAAATAAACCGATGAATTACTGTCTGAAATATATCAAAGTTAATTTGTAGATTTATTTTTTTTGGTACAGTGGTGATCATGACATGATTATTCCATATGCGGGCACTCGAGAATGGATAAAATCTCTAAATTTGAGTGTTGATTACAAATGGAGACCATGGTTTGTTAATGGCCAAGTTGCAGGGTTGGTTGCTTGCTACAATCAATTTTCATAATGTCACTGCAATTTCTTATTAAAGTAATTAAATTATCTTTTTTCTAAGGTACACCGATGCATATACAATGAAAGCGTACAGTTTGACATTTGTTACTGTAAAGGCAAGAACTGAAAATCCTGCTTAATTTTTCTCAATTAGGTTTCTGAAAGAAAAAAAGATAACTAAAATAATGGAAATTAAGTTTTGTTTGACCTGTACAGGGAGGTGGCCACTCAGCTCCAGAATACAAGCCTATGGAATGTCTTGCCATGGTTGATAGGTGGTTTTCATATTACTATGTTTAATTAGCTCTTTCATGTTGCTAGCTGGTACTGCTTTGGTGAATAAATTTCCAAGAATATTGTCAATTGGATATGAAACTGTGAATGTCACTTTTGTGTAACACATGTTCTTGATGTATAATCTTTAGTACGGCGGACGATCGAGCAAATTTTTTTGTATTATATTATATATGCCACACAATATAATTTTTTTAGCAATTTGCCACCCAAAACTTCACTTTTGGGACATCAGGACATGATGGTTCCATATTCGTTGTTAATGTTTTATGTAATAAACAAACCAAAAATGATCGAAAAAATTCATCATCTGGATGATCCTTTGTGAAGTCTTAACAACAATCAAAGAGGGGGAACATATATACATGTGATGAAATGCCTAGCAGCAAGTACATCATCATCACCATGTTACCACAAGCACTTCTTCTGGTGATCCTTATGAACATTAATGTGTGGAAGTAATAAAAATACATATTAAAATAGGTATACTTTTAATTTTGTTGTTGAACACATTTTCATTTTGATAATATCAATTTTCTTGTTGCATTTAATATGTATTTGTGTCATGTTAAAATTTATTTGAAATTAGTCAATGGTATGAACTAGTGTAGTTTATATGATTTAATATATACTTTCATTTCTATATAAAAGCTATAAAAACTTTAAGTATCAAAAAAATAAAAAAAATAGTTCATTAGATTTTACCCTAAACATTTTAGTTAGCCTACCCGTTGAAAAATTCCTAGTTCTACTCTTGACTCTATTAATGTTCTCCTGAGCTTAACATATATATTAAATTGTGAAACAAATGCATTAAATGAAAGTTCTATGAGTTCAACTAAATAAATCATACGTGTAGTTAGTGATTATAAGTATTGGACATGAAAGAGAAAATGAATGCTATGAGTGGGAGAGATGGGACATGAAAAGGCTCTTTGTTGACCTTGGACTCGAGTTAGATAAGTCCGAGGAGCAATCCAGTTTCAAGAATGTGCGCATCAAACCTGCACGGCACCCACTTCTCCTAATCAATGAGAAAGGCTGCCTGCCAGAATTTGGACCACAAAACAAATTCATACGATATCTCTAACAACCAATCACAAGCTTGTCTTTGTTTGTATATATGTTTTAACTTCTTATGAAGTTGACATTTTGAATCCTCTGCACAAAACAAAACCCAAAACGTGTTGACATATATATATGGAGGACCCATTAATCCCCATTCATACAATGTGTAGTTTGATTAGAAATGACAAGGGAAAACGTTGACACAGAGAGAGAGAGAGAGAAGCCACGACTTCATTGCTTAGATGAATCACACATATAGTCTAGTCGATACATTTACAAGTCAAATCAAATAATAATAATCAATATAGCTAGGGTGTGCTTATGTTTGATTAGAGTTGAATATGGTGAGTATGGTGTACTTCTTAAGCTTGAGAAGCCCTAGCAGCTCTCTCCTTCTGTGAGTCCATAGAAGGGGAGGAGGAAGAAGTGTCATTGCCCTCCTCCCCTCTTGTCTCTTTGCTTTTTTCTTTTGGGTTAGTGAATAAGTCCATTGAGGCATTTTAAATAAAAACACCATTTGTGGTGATTTCTTCTGAGCCATGCTCAGATTGAAGTTCCCCATCACCCCTTTGTTCTCAAACTATTTATAGATATAAGGAAGATATCACTTACATTGAACCAAATCCTCCTATTTCTTATAGATACTTATAGAATAATGCTACTCTTACCACATTTGTATACCACCTTATGTCGCTACCTCTATCCCGATGAGCCGAAACCAAGGCTCTTATTTTCTGTTGAGTAATAGTACGAGTAAGTCTTGAATGAGCCCCTCGAAAGGTTGATGCAAATAAACGGATTTTTGTTCTACGTCTTCGAGCTATATACCCTCGTTTAATTCTGGTCATTGAATAAATGAAACTTTGATGAATAACTAATCGATTGTGGACAGCCACATCAAATAAAATTATTTAACATTTCTTTTCTTTTATGATTTATTCGAGTATTTGTTTTTCTAACTTTCTTAATTAAAATATACTTCATTGATTTAATTGATGTGGCATATGATATGGACATGCCACATCATGTGGTATAGAAATGTGAGATAAAAATGTAGTAAGTGTAGCATTATACTCTTATTATAAATGAATAAACCTCCCCGAGCATGAATTCTATTCCCATGGTCCATATATGTAAGTGCTAATCTTGGTGCATTATTCATTTTCAAATTATCATTTCTTGACACAATGCTTGTCTATTAACAGTGGTGATCATGACATGGGTTTTCCATATGTGGGTACTATGGCTTGGATAAAATCTCTGAACTTTGACTCTTGACAGTCGTTGGAAGCCATGGTTCGTCGACAGATAGGTTGCAGGGTTGATATCTATCTCAGCTTCGTTCTTACTTTTTATCTTTTCATCATGTTAATCTTTCTTCTGTTTAAGTTGAGTTTAGTCAGAAACTCATCAGATTACAACTATCTCATAGTTGTGCCTCTTTTGTTCGCTTTAGATACTCAGATAAAAAGAACCAGTTGACATATATACAACTTTAAAGGCAAGAAGCCAAGACCCATCATGAACTATTAAATTATTCCACACTGCAATTTGCTTGACTAAAAGCTGAGACTAAATTTTCTGAATTTTCAGGGAGCTCCACACTACAAACCTGAAGAATGTCATGCTATGATTAGTCGGTGGTTCGCATACTATCCGCTGTAGTCAGAATTTCTGTTGGTGTATCCCAAAATTAATAAGCTAACTGGGTTCACAGCAAAAGTTCATTTGTTGATGTTGGATTGGTAAAGCCTTTCCTCTGTGTCTGTTTGAGTCAATTCTTCAAAGATTGTCATAAAATCATAAATCAAATATCAGTTTTATTTATGAGATAGCTATAAACACACAGACCTCATGTTGTTTGAGTCAATTCCTCTGTGTACTATAAACACACCAGTAGTTAATATATATATTCATCTGGATGATCCTTTGTTAATGTGTTATGTAGTAAACAAACCAAAAACCATGCTAAAAAAACACCATCTGGGTGATCCTTTGTGAAGTCTTACCCTTTGAACAACAATCAAAGAGAGGAGCAGAGAAGACTAAGTAGGTTGACTAATGGGTGGCTGACCATTAGTTGGATCCAAAAATATTACTGCCATGGCCAGTCGTTCAATTCCGTGACATGCAAGCAATGCGGATGCCACCAAAAAAATATATTGTGGTCTTAAATACAACTCCGATTTTCTGCCTCCACGGAATGTTGGTTTAAAGAATCTTGAAACTTGCGATCCCCTGTTTCTTTTCCCTTATTATCTTCTTAGCCTGCATTTTCTTTTTCTTCGAAATCAACCACGTCATACTGGTTGAGCTGAGAGCAAGCACCATACGTCTCTCTGGCAAAGCAATAAAATCGTTCAGATTAAGTCCTCTGTATAACCACATAATAAAATCATGAATTTTTCAATGGGTGGGCTAGCTAAAGTCATTAGCTAAACATCTATGATCATTTTTTTAAATGTATTTATAGTTTATATAGTTATTTTCGAAATAAAAGTATAGTTATATTTTTTTTTATGTATCATATAAACCATGCTAGTTCATAGCTCTATTGACTAATTCCCAATATTTTTTTTCTCTTGATACAATTGATATTGCGGAGGATCCAAATCCTCTGCTCTAATTTTCTCCTCCATGATCTGCTTTACTTTTATTCTCTATACGCCACCTCATTAAAATTTAATCTAAGGAATTTAAAAGTTGACACATCATCCTAAAACAAAAACCCAATTTATTCCTAATTAAAAAAGAATAAAAACCCCTAACACCCAACTAACAGTAGTTAACGTCCAACTGTTTTTTTTCCTCCTTATTCACGTTCTGTTCTGTTCTTTTTATTTTTTATTTTTATCTCTTTCTGTCATTTTCTCCTGTTTTTTCTCTCGCATAAACCATCATGCCATCATCTAGCTAACTAGAGTGCTAAAGAGAAAAGAGATTCTCACCAACTTGCCTACCCTATATGCCTGCCTAAGTGGAATCCCAGATTCTTCTATCAAATCTACTTCAATAGCTTGTGAATCAAATATTCTTCTATGAGACGGTAACATATGAGTGCATTCTTGTCTTACAAGAGGATGATTGTGGTTTTCCATAAAATGGCTAACCCAAGACTTACCATTATATTTATTCAACTTAATGCTCATTTTAGCATTACAACCCATCCTTGTTTCTGCCCGAGAACTTTTAGTTAAATAATCCCGCTTATCTTTCGGTCAAAAACCCTCCTTGCAACAAACAAATACTCTTGAAATTATTCGACCAGTATTCTTATTCTTGTTATGTGAATCTCTTCTAATACTGAATCCTGCTCTTTGCCAAAACTCATTATAAAACTCATATGCAGCTTGTTCTGAAAGAAATTCCATATCACATATGGGCTTATATCTAAATTATCTTCACAGATTGTAGCCATTGAATCTTTCATTCTCAATCTATAAAACAAATATAATAATGTTAATCTATCACACAATGATAACAGTCAAATCTATGATACAATGTTAATCTATGATATACCAAAACATTAATTGAAATCCAATTCAAAGCGCCACACACAAAAAACCAATTAGCTAGTCTCAATGAGAAAGAGGGAAATTTTGAATTGTTGCAGACATAGGAACTAAAAAAGAAAAGGAAAAAAAGAAGAAGAAGCAAAGCATGCCGCAAAGATCAATAAATGAGAGCATATGTAAGAGTATGTATCAGGGATAAAAGAAAACGAACAGCATGCCAAATCATCCTGCTTACTTTATGGGACAAAATCCAGATGAAAAATACAATTCCCAAAATATAAAAACATATTCAAATTTATTTTATGACAGGAAAACATATTATTACTAGGCTAAACAAACAAAAATTGGATAATTGAATGAAGAGGGTCTCCTTGCTGATGATCAAGAGGATTCACCTAATGTTTCTTCAGACTATCCAGTCACGTCATGGCTGAAGAAAAAAGACACATTCAATTATAGCACGCTTCCTAAATTCACACTAGAGCCATAAAGCCATCCTCTATATATATGTGATGAAATATGCCTAGCAGCAAGTATATCATCATCACCATGTTGCCACAAGCATTTCTTCTGATTACCCTTTTGAACATTAATGTTGCATCAACGTCCAATAT